AGAGATATTGGATTTTACATTGTACATGCTTATTTTGTCCATTTTTACATTTAGATAATCTTTGCTATCATTTAAATTGAATATTGCTACACCGGGATTCCAGTTTCAATACAGACAAAAAAATAAAAAGATTTTTAAAAAATGCTTGAAATTGAATTGTTTATGGAGATAGATGTATTAGTTAATTATGTGGCGATGTTCATAGTTTGTTTTCAATACAAGTAATTTATACATACTGACCAGATGAAATTTTTTGTCTCTTGTCTCTTTTTAGACTCCAATCCTGATTGGATGCTTATCTCAGAATGACAGCAGAAGACTCCGCCTCTGCCGTTGCTATGAGTAACCCTAGCCCTTCCTCCTCTTCTAAGGCCTCCTCTGGGCATCCGCAGCATCACAACGCCATCCCTGAGGGAGTGGCTGGGGCCCCCAATGAAGCTGCGCTTATGGCCTTGATGGAGCAGTCAGGTTATGGTATGGTGCAAGAAAATGGACAGCGCAAATATGGCCCGCCACCAGGCTGGCAAGGCCCCTCCCCTCCACGTGGCTGTGAAATCTTTGTGGGTAAAATCCCACGTGATGTTTACGAGGACGAGCTGGTGCCAGTATTTGAGACTGTTGGACGGATCTACGAGATGCGCCTAATGATGGATTTTGACGGGAAGAACCGCGGTTACGCGTTCGTCATGTTCACGCAGAAGCACGAAGCTAAGCGAGCAGTTCGTGAACTCAATAACTTCGAAATTCGTCCAGGAAGGTTGTTAGGTGTGTGCTCTAGTGTAGATAACTGCCGCCTCTTCATTGGCGGAATCCCAAAAACCAAGAAGCGTGAGGAGATCCTGGAGGAAGTTTCCAAGGTGACGGAGGGGGTGCTGGATGTGATTGTGTATGCGAGTGCTGCGGATAAGATGAAGAATCGTGGCTTTGCCTTTGTAGAGTACGAGTCTCACCGTGCTGCTGCTATGGCCAGAAGAAAGCTCATGCCAGGACGAATTCAGGTTAACACCATTTTCCACTGGAATCAAAGGAACTGTTCACTCAAAATTAAAAAATTCTGTCATTATATACTTAGAAAAGGAGAATTTTTTGAAGACTATTCACACTATTCAGCTATTTTCCATACAACAAAAGTGATAGACCATGCTTACTATGTTAAAAACACTATAATAAGGAACAAAAACACTATAAAAGCATAATAAAAGTATTCCATAAGACTCATGTGCTATATTCCACATCTTCTGAAGTCAGACGATAAATTTGCACAAGGAACAGACTGAAATTGAAGTCATTTTTCACTAGTAATTTTTTCACCTAGTTAGCTGATAACTAACTAACAGATTCAAGAACAAATAACTATTTCAAGATGATTATTTTCAAAGAACGGTTTGTTGCAAGTCAGACTGACAGATTAAATTAAAATGATCTGATTCCTATAGTTCAAAGACTCACTGCTTTGGGAAGATTTTATTAGTGGCTTCGGTTTCACTCAGTTCATCACAAATCTACTGAATGGCTTCAGAACACTTGTAATATAGCTCATAAGTCATATGGACTGATTATATTGTGCTTTTATCATATTCATTTGCGCTTTTTGAAGCTTTACATATAATAATGAAGTGCACTGGAAAATAGCTGTGTGAGGATCTATATAGAAAAAAATAGCAGCATTGGGGTTTGGAATGACATGAGGGTAAATAAATAATGAGAATTTTTATTTTTAGGTGAACTATTCCTTTATCCATGACATTTAGTGAATACATCTCCCTTACTTTAAACCTGTTGAGTGCATATCTGTTTCTCTGTGTATGTGTATATAGCTCTGGGGTCACCAGATTGCAGTTGACTGGGCAGAACCTGAGATTGACGTTGACGAGGACGTCATGGAAACAGTGAAGATTCTGTACGTGCGGAACCTGATGATAGAGACCAGTGAGGATATTCTACGCCAAACCTTCGGCCAGTTCAACCCTGGCTGCGTGGAACGTGTCAAAAAAATCCGAGACTACGCCTTTGTTCACTTCTCCAGTCGAGAAGATGCTGTGGTTGCAATGGACAACCTGAACGGCACAGAGATCGAAGGTTCCCGTATTGAAGTGACCCTGGCCAAGCCTGTGGATAAGGAGCAGTACACCCGCTATCAGAAAGCATCGAAGGCAACAGCGGCTCCGACAACTACCGACAACACCCAACAAAGTTACGTGTATCAGTGTGACCCATATACACTCACCTATTACGGCTATCCCTACAACACACTCATTGGGCCCAACCGAGAGTACTTCATCAAAGGTTGGAAACCTTTATTTTTCTCTTTACTTTCTCAAATCAGATTGAACAGTGGGAGAAATGTGATTCTTGATTAGAAAAAAGTCTATATGTACTTGAGTATCATGCTGTTAAATATAGTTGGGAAACTAGACTGTTTTCCAACTCTCTCTTGCATTACAGTCCATATTCACACACGTAATGAGACTTGATCTGTACAAACCAATTAATGTTAAAACTTTGTCCCCTTTAACCCAGAGCTTTCATATGGGCACATCCTTTAAAACAGTGTTTCTCAACTGGTAAAAACTATGCTAAAAGTCATGAAAAGCCATGTCCATAAAAAACAAACAAATATGACCCAGACTGCATTCAGGGGTATAGGGTACTTAAATAATTGTACTTCATTACCAATTACTCTGAAAATTGGTGTAGAAAATTCAATTTTCAATTTTCACTCAGATTTGAAGTAGAAAAACCAAGATTTTTACAAGATTTTCTTGTAATACTGTAATACAATAATCTTGTAGTATTCATGTGATAATTTTCTTTGTTTCATTTTTGACAGTGTACATATTAAGTATTTTTGGACAATTTGTGAGAGTGATTACATTTACTACATTTATATTTCTCAGAAAATCATACATATTTTTATCAGCTTTCTGAGCTACAAAGACACTTTTTAAAAAAAACACAATAAAAGTGAAAAATTGTACTTTCATCAATTATGTTTTGTCTCAATGGAGTATCATATAATGAAGATAAAAATGGTTTGATTGGACAAAAATGTCTTTTGAGCTGTGAATTATTGGCTTCCAAGAGGTTGCCTTCCATTGATTTTCAAGAAACATTTAGAAACCTAAATCAATTTTCCCATTCAGCCTTGTCATAATTTTGCTCATTAGCTCATGTTAATATTAATGATTTTTGATTTTAAGGAAATATTCGTACTTTTCTACAATAAACAGCTTCGGTACTGTGTCGGCTACTTTGAAACTAATGTAAAATACAGAAACGAAACCAGTTGAGATCAACTGCTTTAAAAGATACTTCCCAAAACAAGAAGCTCTGCCCTCTTTGTTGCTAATCACATCTTTAGCATGGCCACTAGATGGCATGCATTTTGAGATTGTTTTTGGCTGAAGAGCTGAGATCCCCAAAATGTATGATACTGAAACTAATGATGGGAATCTGGTATTATTACATTTCCTAACCCATAATCATCAATTACAAATGCTTGTGGTTTTGGGTTGGGTTTCAAATTGAACAAAGAACTGTGATTGCATACTCAATCTGAGATGTGTTTGGTCATCCTTGGTCTGATTAAAACAAAACTTTATCTTTACTTTTAATTTCAACTTTGCTCAAACACCACCACCACTCCCATCTCAAAGAATGGTGGGTAATTACAAATATCTCAAGAGGCGTTCACACTGACAGCAGTTTGAATTAGAATGCTGAAGAGTGATAGTGCCACACCCATTTCTCGATATATTCAACCTGAATAGAAAGCTGACAGAGAAAGCTAATTACTTTATTTAAAATGTCTGCTCAACCTCAAACAATGGGGTTACCAGTACTTATATACAGGTATGTACCTCCTTGTGGTTCTGTACCTGAACAGCACCTCCTTTCATTTGTATCTCAAGCAGGTACTGTAAGAGGCCGTGGCCGTGCTGGGGCCGGTAATAGGGGCCCAGGGCCCCGCGGCTCATACCTTGGTGGCTATTCAGCTGGCCGAGGCATTTACAGCCGCTACCATGAAGGAAAGGGCAAATTGCTGGACAAACCTTACGAGATCATGCCCAATCTAGAGCTGGCAGCTGTGAACCCAGTGGGCATCAAGCCTGGCACAAGTCAGTGTGAAATTAAATCACATACATACAGAATTAAGCTCAGCTGTGCTCCACTCCATCCAGTAGAGGCAGAATCTAAAATGATCTAGAAACAGAATCTAAAAACTGTTCATTCTGAAATGGAGGTTTCTGGATAATTTGCTAATGTTATTTAGTACTGAAATGTATCCACCAGTTAGAGTTACATTTAAAAATTGCAGTCAAGTAAACTGGGGTTACTCAAAAAAATATAAAGATAAATTTGTTAGATTCCACTGCCCCTACTGGCCTGGAGTGGAACAGTAACTTGCTTTCTTTATGACAGCTGTCATCGCTGTCACGGCTTACTCCAGTAAGCAGGCTTTTGATTTAGATTTTATTGCTTAAATGCCTTCTTTGAATTATACATACAATGTTCAAACAATTCTCAAAAAGCTCTCAAATTTGTATATACCTCCAGATTAAATATTACATATGTACAGTCATCTGAATAGACTGTTATTAAGGATATTAACATAACAGAGGAACTAAACCACCAATAACAATGCTTTGCGCGAGTTTGTTTGGGCATTGAGTTCAAGGTTCTTAATGACTTAATTTTCTTACTAATCGGCTGCTCTGTGTCGAAACTAACTGATCTTGCACAATTCTGATCTGAGATCTGCAAAACTCCTGACTGGAGTATTCTGACGTCACTTAAACCTACTGATCCTAAGTCTAAATTAATGTGGGGAATGAAAAGAGTTTTTGTACACGGAAACAATGTATGTGTGTGTGAAAGCCAATGCGTACGTGGCTGCGTGTGGGTGTGTTTTTTGTCGTTAATCTTAAGCTGAGTCATACACTTGTAAAAGAGGACAGGTTGTGTAAGTCTCAGTCTTTCCATTCTTGCACTTTCTGACTTATCTTTCACTTACCTGCATTTCTATACTGCCTCATTTCATATTGAAAGTGTTATGTTACCTCACATATAGTACACAGTTTACATAATGTTCATGTTTTGTATGTAATGTTCACCATGTAGTTCTGATTGTATGTATATATGTGTAGTGGCTCTTCCAGCACTCGGCGCTCAGTACCCTGCTGTGTTTTCTGCTGCCCCTGCAACTAAGTTAATGGATGAAGGGAAGATGCACCCAGTGGAGCACCTGATAAACCCTATGGCCCTCCAGCATGACCCCACAGCTGCCTCGGCCACTGCGGCGGTCATACCTGCAGTCTCCACACCACCGCCTTACCAGGTACTCACCTACACCTGAGCAGATGGGACAATTTACAGTTATTATAACACTCAGATAATTCTAACACCATGAGCTTATTTGCGTATTCACACTGAAAGCGAAAATGCTGCGCTGTATGACACATTAACAGCCAATGAAAACATTTTGGATTATTGTACAGCTATGTAGAGCATGATTATGCCTGGAGCGTTAGTGTTTTCTTACACTTTAAGATCCATCTAATACTGCTATCATGAGATCTGAATTTAAGTTGAATTGCTGTAGCAAATATTTGAATTAAAGGAAGTAGAATTAAAAGAACTGAAATGTTTACAAATTCACGTAACTGCAATAAATGTAACTAGAAAAGGAAGTTTGTCGTCAAGTCAAACTTTGAAAAGCCTTGTCTAAAAGTTCAAATAGTTTTTAATTTTGGAGGTTTTATAGGCCTTACAGAAAGACAAACATATATCTGTGTGCCATTTCATTTCTTTGAATTGTAATTCAGTAAATTCCACTTCCTGTAATTCCAGTTCAAATTCCAATTAAACTTTCTGTTCAGTTAAAATTCCAACTCATGATTTGAAAGGCGGCCAATTCTTAAAATACGAATCCTGACAAGCATAATATGTTACCACAACCCATAATAAAAGAATTCACCACGTTAAAATATTATTCGAAAAATAATACCAATACTTACCAAAAATACACAACATCTAGTCAAAATCCCATTGTCATATATTGAATATCGCCTTCACAACTGGATGGAAATCTGTATGGATCTTGTGTTCATACAGTCATTATGAGTAAGAAAAAAAAATTACACGACTAGAGAAAACAGAAAAGGGGATATGGTGAATAAAGGAAGGAAAATGTCAACACCCATAATGCACTGGGCTCGATCAGATTATCCATGAGCGTGGATACAAATCTGTACTTTACACAGAAGCCCTGGAGCTATCAAAAGTCTACGTCAAACGCATCATTAGTGAACTTTTGCTGACAAATAATGGCGTTCATTTACTTATAGTACTACCGACATTTTCCGACGTTAAAAATCAGCAAACTTACCCTTTAATATGCTCATTTTGCTATGGGGGAAATTGGAGCAGGTTTTATTTCATCTGTGAACAGGGAATGAAAAACCCTCCATTCACATCTTCTGTTTTGGACCAATGAGATTTCACTCTAGACAGCGCTACCCTGAATGACACTGCAGAAATAGAAACAAAGCGACCCACCATCATGGTCGTTGTCAAAAACTCTTTATTGCTTGTTGCTTTATCATGTCTAGTTAGGATACGGTGTATCAATCTCTCTCTTTACCTCACAGGGTCGTTCTATAACCCCCGTCTATGCTATGGCTCACAATGTCCAGAGGATCCCGGCTGCAGCTGCCAGTCTGTATGGAGCCGGCTACATGCCTATCGCTACCCATGCCAACACGGCCATGCTGGCAGCGCTGCAGAAGAACGCTGCTATGGCAGCCGCCGCAACCTATGGAGGGTACGCTGGGTACATGCCTCAGGCCTTCCCTGCCACTGCCACCTTCCAGATGCCCATTCATGATGTATACCAGACCTACTGAGATACCTGCAGCATCGATCACAATGACTTACAATTACACACACACCACATCACCACAGGCCATCAGACATTTACACCACATCTATGAGGTCTGCTGGTTAATTGAACCACGGAGAGTGAAACTGACATGCAACAACTCTTAACACCTTCTGACTCGTGTGAAGCTCCCTGGAAGGCTTTAGATTAGACGCTGGCAGCATGGATGTAGATTTCATCTAAATTATCTCACATCTTCATCAGCCCCTCTGGCCCACATTTATTAATCCAGACGTATGACCTAGACCAAAACCACTTTTGTATGATACTGATTAGCTTATCAAGACAGGTAGACTTTTGTGTTATATGTTATGGACTCAAACCCTGCAATGTGACCAGAACCTCGCCTATTTTCCCTTTAGATCCATAGGAAACAGTCTGTCAGTTCGACTTCCTAAAGGAATCGACAACTCTTGCTGATTTCCAAAGCCATTACACGACTGACTGAATGAATGACAACTCATCACTCATTTGCATATTTGATCATTCTGCAGAGGTTTTGTTTATTAGTTGATCACCAGTACAGCTGTTGACTGATTCCGAGTGATATGTTCATATGAAGTAATTCCAAATAAGACTTGCAGAAGCACACCTACTGACATATCACCAGCTTCCCCACACACTCCAGCTGAGAGTCGTGAGCCAGAGCATTCGTGTCACTGCACACTCCTAATACCACTCCTCTGCATTCACGGGCACAAGAACGTTGTAGTATTTGTGGACTTTAATAAGAACGTATTTAATGGCTCTCTATGCTTTAGTGCATTTACTTTTGTTTTGTGAAGAAAAACAAAATTGACAAAAAAACTGTAAAATGAACAAACAACTGCTGAGCAGGAACTTCAACAACCACAGAAGTAGAAGATTTGAAGTGTTTCATGAAAATGCTGTATTTTGAGTTTATAACATATACTTTCAAAATGTGTTGAAGACGTCGGAATCTTCCGTCCACTGGGTTTCCTGCACACGAGTCTATATGCAAATTCCTGCATTCGTTTTTTCCTCCTTAACTGTTTATTTTTATATTTAGATTGTTTTAAGATTCTACTGTTTAGTTGGTTTGAAGATGTTGTTTTTATTGTCTAGAAGATATTTTTCTTCTCTTAACTGGAAGATAGACAAACACTGTTTTCATTCACATTCTCAGAGGCAAAATAAGTGTTCAAGAAAACGGAAACTGGAAAAAGAGAAGTTTTTCAGTCAGTCAGATATATGCTGGATAACATTAGTTCTCTGTTAAAGGTATAGTTAACCCAAAAATGAAATTTCATGTCGTTCCAAACCTGTATAACTTACTTTCTTCGGTGGAACATGAGAGAAGGTATTTTGAGTGTATATCTATACAATGGAAGTCAATGGTAACCAAAACGTTTAGGTTACCAACATTCTTCAAAATATCTGCAGAAGAAAGAAAGTCATACAGATTTGGAATGACTTGAGGATGAGTAAAAGATTTTCAGTGATTTTTTAGAATGTTCATTTTTGTGTAAACTATCCCTTTAATGTGTTTTAAATGCACAAACCGGACTGACAAAAAAGTAGCTGGGTTGAAGATGCAGCATTATTTATGATGACTTAGTTCTGCTTACTTTTACGGGTTGTGTTAGTTGATGACCAACCCTTATTTTTTCAGACCACTACTGTGATTCCCAGCATCCAGTCCTGTGAAGTCTTATGTGCCTCATTAGGGGAACACATGTTCCCTCTTACCCGCTTTTGTGCCATTAATACAAATTACACCTGAAGTACTGTCCCATTTGCCATTGAACCAATTATGTTCATGTTGTTTATTAACGGTCTTGACTCGCAGACCTTGAGTTGCAGAATAAAATCAGTTTAATGGCACAATACTCTCAATCCCCCCTCCGAACTCCTCCTATAGATGTGTGTAGAGACAGCAGACAGTCGAAAGTTTGGGGAAAACGTCACGATATACCAAAACAAAGAATGACGATCCATGCAAGTCACATCACGTAGTGACACATTTTTACACACTGCTGCGATCATCTAGAATATGGCATATCTGTGTTTTTTTGAGAAAAGTGAACCATCCCCAGTAGTTTTTCTCTGTCTGTTATCTAATCTTTTATTATGAGCGAAGCAGTCAGGATATATTTAATATATACAGTACAATGTTTTTGTGTATGAAGTAAGAGGAAATGCTATAATATATTTTAAGAAGATTTTTTCATCTTATTATGTGCTTTAGAGAGTTTAACAACAACAAAAACTTCTTTTTTTTGCCAAAGTGTTCAACTAATGCGAATGTGTGTATGTGTGGATATATAAATGTGGCTGTAAGTTGCCAGTGTGGAGTAATACTGGCCCAAATTGATCATGCATTCATTGGCAAAACACGATTTATTTTGCGATCATTTCATAAACACTACATGTGTAGCGTTTTTTTTTCTCTCTCTCTCCTTTTTAGACTTGTTTCTTGTTACTAAAAGACAAATGAACAAGACAAGGTGACCTCGGCTGAGGACATTTCGATAATGTAGAATGTTATTGCCATAATATCTTTTCCTTTTTTTTTTTTTAGCTCTGTTTAGAACTGTTTTCTATCTCGCATTGTTTGTTTTAAAACTTTTTTGGCATTGTTGTATTTATAGAGGTAGTTTAATAAAGCATTTTCAAAAGGAAAAGTAAGATCTGTGCTTGTCCTTCTTATTCTTATTTCTCCGTTGCTTTCTTCTTTGCTCACCATTTACACTTTTTTTTTTTTACTAAAATTATTAGCAATTTTACTAAATAATTTAAAAAAAAAATCTAATTTTGCTACCTTTTTTTAATATTTTGAAATTTATTCTTTTACTTTTGTTTTTAGCATTGTCTGTGCTGAAAGTTATCAGATCATGTAATGTTCATTAGTTTAAATTTCACAAGTAATGAGGGTTGAAGATCTCTTTTGGTGATTGACAAAGTGTACCAAATCGTTTCAAGCAGGGGGTGCTCAAACCAGTTCCTACCATCCCGCAAAGTTCAGTTCCAGCTGTTCCAACACACTTTTCTGTGTTCTTGAGGATCTTCATCAGCTGGTTCAGGTGTGTTTGATAAGGTTTGGAAGTGAACTTTGTGAGATGGGAGATTTCCTGGAATAAAATTGAGCATCCCTGAACTAAAATGAAAATTTTACATTCAAACATGCAGTTCTTTTTGTATCACTAGGGGGCAGCAGTGCAGAGGGACCAGATGTAGGTTTAAAGTGATGGAATGGGATCTGAACACCTGTGTTACTGTAATATGGCTGAAACTGCCTGGTTTTTCTCAACATGCCCATTAAGTGCAGTGAAGTTCTTCCTTTTATCATTATTATTATTAGTAGTAGTAGTCTCAGGAAACGACTAAGTAGCAGTGGCATGCATGACATGATGCTTGCTGATTTGGTCATTATTGCCACACTGTAGTGGTGTAAAAATATGCAAGCTCAACTGAGAAAATAGAATTGATTTGATGTCTTTTCTTTGTAAATAGGGTGAAGTGGGACGAACATGTTTCATGATTGATTGCCCTTTTAATATCAGCAGAAAATCAAATGTTAATAGTTGCCGCAAGGGTAGCTGTCATTCCAAATGTTTTCATCTGCATCATAATCATGCATCACAGTGGATATGATCACATCTAATTCATCTTTGGCAAATGAAAATGCTCCTCTTAAACATAAGCCTCTAGAATACAAATTAATTACACAAACCTAGTTCTTAATTATTATTTTAATTACTGAATGTTAATTACAGAAAAGTGTACTGTTCCAAAATACCACTGTTGTCCCACTTTATTTCACCAAGACACTTTTTACTTGTTGTTCCTGTGGCTCAGTGGTAGAACATTGCGTTAGCAGTGCAAAGGTTGTGGGTTCAATTCCCAGGGAACACACATACTGATAAAAAATGTATAGCCTGAATGCACTGTAAGTCGCTTTGGATAAAAGTGTCTGCTTTAATTTACTCTGCACTCTTGCAATTTTGTTCTGATGGATTTGATTATTAATCGTAACACTATTATGGCATTACACAAACCATGTCATATAAAAGTTTGAGCCTGTGTATGGACACTATCAGGAATGTTATTTTATGGTAACTAGGAGGAGTTTTTTTCCTTTAAATAATAATTTAGTAAAATATGTATAAAATGTGCTTAAAATATTTATTTTATAATATTCTTATTTCAATATTCTTGAAATTTGTCTCTATTGCAGTTGCTGCTGAATCGTCTGCAGTGTTAAATAAAATTGAGTGTACAGTACACAAAATCAAAATTTTAAAACTTTTTTTTATATCAGAGTAATATAAAATAGGCCACACTGTACAATAACCGTAAGTCACGTGTTCATAGGGCATTCATAAGCAGTGCATAAACTCATTTAAATGTGTTTTAAGTGCGCATATGATTGTATTCTCAGTGTCTCACTGGACATGAAAAATCTGATAATAAATAGTCATAAATTGAGCCCCTTTTACTTTTATAATGCTTTTGAATGCTAGTAATTCATAATTCAAACTCCTCCAGTACAGTGTGGATGCACAGTGCAAAAAATTTTAACATTTAAATGTATTTTTTTTTTAGTTTCTCAATCACACCACAGACTGAGAAGCATGCCGCTCATCCTCTGAGTAACGCCTGAACTGTTCCCCTAGCAGCGGCTCCAGGCCCTCAGCCGAGCGGTAAGAACGTGCCCGAACAGCACACCCGATGACTCCGCCCACCACAGCCACAACAAGCACCACGGCAACAATCGCTATGGTGATGATCTCTGAAATAGTGTATGCCCGAGCTAAGGAGGGAGAAAGAGAGAGATTTTGTGTTTATATCAAACCACAAATGTATAAAGGTGAATAACATTTTTTAAATGCGTAGTAAAATTGCCATTGCGTTCCTGTGTGCACTTCACACTCCAGTCCAGTAGGTGGCAGAAATGGATCCTTGACATTGGTTTGCTAACCGCCTTTAAACCAGTGTCAGGACAAATGGGGTCCTCCCTAAAAATGGGGTCTCTATTAGGACCCCAAGTGATCCCATTGGCTCAATATTAATGTGTAATCTCTTTAGCATGATTTCTACAAAATCCAATCTGATCTCATGAGAAAACATAAATATTTTACAAGGTGGAGATTTAGTATGAATTTACAATGTAATTCGTATGAAAACATGAGATTTTTAGAAAAATGATAAACATGAAGGGCCACCCTGAGCGGAATATAAGCAGACTGTAAGAAAATTTACGAATGAGATTATAGATTAAAGGGGTCATATGATGCTGCTAAAAAGAACATTATTTTGTGTATTTGGTGTACATGTCTTTAAAGTAATTATGTGTTAAATATCCAGAGATTTCTGTTATAAAAAGAACAATGTAATGAAGAGTGGGAGAACCTGACACCGTCAGACAAATTCAAAGGAGGAAATCAATGGCCTCTGCAACAATTTTACAATTTTTTAAAATTTTACTAAAATTGCTTAAACCCGAACAGAGCACTTGCATTTTTGGGTTCTTCATTAAGTGTTGAAGTGAATCATAATGTATTGCCATTATACTGAATTCACACAGCTGGATATTAATTAAATTATCTACTTTTGTGTTGCACAGAAGAAAAAACATGTGAGGAAATTATGACAATCTTAGTTTTTGGGTGAACTATTCCTTTAACTTTAAGTTCAGTTATACTAATAGAGTTTTCCAGAAAGGAATATTGGTAACACTTTAGAATAATGTTCTATCATTAACAGATAATTATGCCGGAAGTAATGCAGGACTAATGGGTGAACTACATTAACACTTCAGCTACTACTATTAACTAATATCCAAACAAGCCTAACTAATCATTAAGTAATAGTGAATTTAGGACTGAGATACTTCCTTAATAAGCAATCAGTAATTACTGAATGAGATCGGCCTCATTACGAAATAGTTATTATTTCGCACCAATTAATTACCAATGAATTACTAATCACTAATTAGCCTACTCTAGTGTTACTTAATCACTTTGCATTAACTAGTAATTATCTGGACCGTTATTTTAAGGTGAAGAACTTTTTTTTTTTCTATTTAAAAATAATGGTTCAGATCACTAGTAGTTCTTGAAGAGTTACTAGGTAACACTAGAGTAATTAGTAATGCATTTTAAGTCGACGTTGAGAATAAAAAAGACAACTGTTGACGTTTCTGTTCTTATTTAATAGTAACTGAAGTTTTAATGTAGTACTACTCATTAGTTCTGCATTACTTCCTGCATAGTTTACCTATTAATGACAGACCATTATTCTAAAGTGTTACCGGAATATTTAGATAGTTTATGGGCTTGTTATGGATACTTTTTTTGCTGTGCTGCTATAACTGATTACTCACTTGGCCACTGAACCTCATAGGTGTAGCCCAGGTTGTCTGGGGCAGCGACAAACATTTCAGCATTTCTGATTGGTGGCCAGAAAGGAACCATATTGAACTCTCTGTTGTGTCCAATCGGAGCGTTTTCCTCAGGATAGACCTCTGTTCCTGCTGCGTTAGTTCAAAGATCACTTGTTAGAATGCAACTGAAATTTAAAACTCATTTTGGTTATGTATGTATGTACATTATGTGTGTGTGTGTGTGTGTGTGTGTGTTTACCAGCAGTGTGTCTCTGAAGCCATTCATCAAAGATGGCATCAGTGAACGTGTGAAGCAGGACAAAGATGGGGTCGTTTGGTGACAGGTGAGTCTGTCCACCTGTGCCATTGAGAAACAAATGAGCCAGGTTGTGCAGACTCCTCACTACTGGGTCATAGTTTCCCTGGGGAGCACTGTAACCTAATGACACACAAGAACACCAATTAAAAGTCTCCTCGCTTCTCCGAAATGTTGCAACGACTTTATGCAGGTGGTTATTTGGTGTGCTAGTTCCTTTGCCTGTGACTTCAAACATTTTTCAAAAACCTTTTTAGAAAGTAGTTTTATTTGCAGTTGCGAGTGTATCATACCCTCAACAGTGTTCCTGAAGCTCTGAGAAGAAGTTGAGTAATAAGGTGGTGTGTCGAAAGTGTTCAGCTCGAGACAGTCAATGACGTCCTGTGGTTCTGGTAATCTCTGAACCATGGGTCGAGCCACATTACCGGCAGGGTTTCTTCTGATTGGATTTGTCTCTGTACCTGAATACACACCAGGCAGAGACATTTTGATAACTTTTGATATATTTTGTAAAAGATGTTTTTTTTTTTGTTTTTTTTGTCAGAATCTATTAATTTGTCTCAAAAATACATTAAAATGCAATTCAAACACACACTGACTTGAAAACAACTCTTCAATAATGAGCAAGTTCTGAATTAAAATTAATTTTGATATTTTATGTGGGGCATGAAGTTAAAATGTCAGGGTGATACAACTGTCCTGAATCATAATAAAAAATAAAAAAAAACATCTCTTAAATGTCTCATATTAAAGATTTCTTAGGAAAACATATTTTAATATTTTAACAAAGCTGCTTCACTGCTTTTAATATTTGAAAAACCTTTGTCTGTCAAACCATGCAGTGCGAACAATACAGTTATATGATCCAACCAACAAACAGAAAAAACAATTATAAAAAAGAATAAATCATTTAAAAAATAAAATCATTAAATCATTAAAAAAACTGAAAATGACCCCTTATAGACAATCAACACTATGTGTCAAGGCCAATATGTCTGGTAAAATATCAGATAAACTTTTTATAAGTTAAGATTTCTTTTGGTTGTAAAATCATGTGTCATGTGGTGCGACTCTCCCAAAACGTAATGATGTTTATAATTTATTAATTCATAATATTTGTAAAAATGTATTTTATTTTGAAAATATATTTTAAAAGGGTAAATATTTGACTAAAACTGAAAAAAAAAAAAATTGTTACATTGTGAGCTAAAGTCAAAAGTTGTATCTAATAACTATGATGTTTTATCTTGTATTTCAAATTGTCGTCATTATGTTTTTATGTCATAACTTTCAACTTGTCTTGGCATGTAATAACTGTGACTTTTTATGACATATGATGCAACAAAGCATGAATACTGAAGGAAAGATTCACCCTAAAAATTAAATTTCTGTCATAATTTGCTCAACTTCATGTCGTTCCAAACCTGTATGACTGGCTTTCTTCCACTGAATAAATAAGAAGGTATTTTTTTAAATGTATTGTTCATACTTCTCTATTGGAGCTTCATCAAACATCAAAAAACATCAAAGCATCATAAAAGTGATCTAAAGTCTCTGAAGTCATATCATAACTTTGTATTATAAATAAATCAAAATTAAAGTCATAATCCACTGATAATAATTCCCACCAAAATGAATATTTATTTATTTACCAGATCAACCAGACTTATTTAACTGACATGTCTACTACTGTCATGAGCACCCCAAAAAGAGACACTGTAGGGCGGATGTCAACAAAGTAAAGTTCACCTGTTTCTCTTCAGAAAACTTGACATACAGGGTATGAGTCATATGAACTTCTTTTATGATACTTTTTGCATGTTTTTTGAAGCTTGAAAGCCCCAGTGCCCAGTCGCTATATTTGCATGGAAAAGAGCAACCAATGCATTCTTTAAAATATCTCCTTTTGTGTTCCATGTCATAAAGTTTTGGAATCACAAGACATCATTTAACAGGTTTTGTATTTCATTATCATTATCTGATTTGGGTCACCTGCATGTCTCTCTCCAGTTGCAACAGGTGGTACCGGTGCCAAGTGACAAATCCTGGTCCTTCGTGTGAGAAATCCACACCTCCGAAGCTCTGCTGGCCTGGACCCATGTAAGTCTTACTGACCGAATAGTAGTGGGTCCAGACAAAGTAATTATAAATGGTGATGTTCTCAAACTGTACACTTGCTCCGTCCGGGCCGAAAATCTCCTGATAGCGGCGGGTACAGATGACCAGGTCAGGATGGACAGTTCTTTTAGCCTGGTCCAGGGCGTCCACAAAGGCTCTTTTCTCATCTGCAGACATCTGCATGACGTTACGTCGCACTGAGAACACAAACAAACCCAGACGATTCAGAAAGCAAAGCATACAAACATCACATACTGTATGTATTTACAGTGCATATCTGTATACTTGTTCATCATGAGGATTTAAGCGTATGGATGTCTGTCCTCACCCACGGTGACTCTTTGATCACAGTTTGGCCCTGTCAGACTGTGCCGGCATCGGCCACAGTTAAATCCACTGAAGTTTCCGTTGCATTGACAGGTTCTGTTAAAGAACCGAAGTGGCCATCGTTCTCTATCATCCCGCCCATCGTGAGGATACTGAGGCCCGTGTGGCCGGCGGTCAGCAGTAATTGACACACATTGACCTCTCCCGGTACTGGATCCACACTCATCATTGGGCAGTCCAGTAGGTGATGGGCAGCAGGTGCCACTCTGCAGACCTTCTGGTGTGACACACTGACGTGGGAACTGCGCGTGCGTCAGCACAACGCACATTAGCACTAAACACACACTCTTCCACATCCTAGAAAGACATAAATTGGACCACATGCATTGAAATATGCTCAAAGGGATAGATCACCCAAAAATGTCACCCTCATGTCATTACAAACCTGTAACAATTTTATTTAGATGCTAGGCAGAATAAAAATCATACTAATAATACATTATGTATATTGAGCAGCATGAAGGTGAGTAAAATAATTTGGGGGGTTAAATATTCCTTTAAAAGTGCATAGTTTGTGAAAGTTAGGTCGTTAGGTCTGCCAATGTCTATCAGTCATAAAAATCTGCTTTTTAGTTTTGCATGCAGTTTATACTTGTAATATTAGCAAATTATTTAATTAGAACACTAAAAACAATATTTTATCTAAACATCATATAACAAGATAAATGTAGAAGTGAAATTTTATAAGATATTATGAATTGTTTTCAGGAAATGTATCTCGAATCAATCATTTGAATTCATTATTTTACTTATCCTGTTTGGAAAACTGTTTATTATTTGTTTTATGCATAAACCACAAAAGTCTGTTAGATACTTACAGTATACTTTAAAAAAAAAAAAGCTAGACTAGTCATTTTTGCTTCTTTTATTTTATTTTATTTTGTTTTATTTTATTTTTATTTTAATATTATTATTTTATACATATAACACATTTCATATATAATATATAAACATATTTATTTAATATATTAATATTTTATTTACATTTATTTTGTATTTTTCAGTTAAACTGGATAAATTAAGCAAATTGTGAAAATTATTTCACCATGAAGTGTTATGGTTTTCTTCAGAAAAAAGAGTAACCCACTCTGGTTCTAATTGTTAGTGGAAACCAAAAAAAAAAAAAAAACATTATAGGACATTATCTACAAAAAAATGGCACCTAAGGAAATTGGGAAATCTTTTGAGATCAGTGCAAAAATGTGCACAGTAAGATTCGTTCTTATTACAGAAGATCTGAAAAATGGAAGAAATGTATTACTGTCAAAGAGAAACAATGGAAAGCGACAGAAGATTTTTCTCTCTATCTTTAATATTGAATCTTTTATTTTTAGTTTTTTGAAGTACCATAGGCTTGCAATTGTATAGCAGCCTTTTAGCAGCATCTAAGCATATAGACAGTTCCAACTTCACAACCTCAAACTGTGTAGCTCACTGACTAGTTATGTCCTCAGAGCAAACCCACACAAATGGATTGCGTTAATGGTTTTTACAAAATAAAATAAACTATTCCCTTTATCGATCTGTCATCTTGTCTCTTATGTAAAAAAAGTTCAAGACAAAAAAAGTCATATGTATATAACTCACTGCATCTATGCTCATCATAAATTCTGAACTGATTGATTAAACAACAATTCATCCATGTCATGCCCTAGTGGGCCACAATGTCAGTCTTCAACCACTGCAGTGATATAAAGAGTAAAAAAAACAATACAGGAAAGAAAGATAAAAGTAAAGTGTACCTTATATCATCCGTTCTTTCTTTTCTACCCCACTCTTTCTTTCTCACACTCTCTCTTTCTCCTGTACTGTAGTGCCCCCCTGTGCTGCCCCCTGGCCAACTCTTTTATACTTACACCCCTCCTGACTGCACTCCTCTCTCTGATCCCTCCATCCCGTGATCAGCAACCAGTAGAGAGAAGGGGAAGAGAGAGAGAAAGGGTAAAAACACATTCTACAACTCTCTTTCCTCTTCAGTGAATGTGGCTCTTCATTTGCGTCTGTTGGTTTGACCTTTTCAAAGGTGTGATAGATCGATGGTCTTTGCTTTCATAACAGGCAAAATAGTAGACAGAAACAAACCATTTATTAAAGAAAAGACACATGTCTCATGTCTGTTACAGGAGGGTTGTGCGGGAAAGATAGAATCGTTTTAAATACAGAACTCTTTACATTTCAATTAGTACATATGCCAAACTTTGCCAAGTTTTTATGTTTTACATATTTCTATGGAAATTGTTTAATGCAATAAATTTGTGTGACTTCATCAATACTAAACAGTAGAAAATCAAAACCCAAAATTTATTTAGGCCTAAATTTCAGATTAATGTATTTGAATTGCATATGAAATTTCCATCTATTTGTATTACGCAGTTTTATTATCAAACTAATAAACTTAATGTGATGCTTATTTGCCAATCATACATTAAGGAAACAAAAACAAACAAAAAAAGATTGTTCCAAAGCTAGCCACATTGTTACCATGTTCATACTTTTTAACTGAATAAATGTAAGTATTTTCACAATTAACAGATTTATGCTGATCTGAAGCAATTTGAACAAATGCATAAAATATGATTTTATTATTTTTATGATTTAAATAAAATATATAAATGTACTTATTTATTTATTTAATCTAAATGGATGGAATTTTATATGCAAATCAAATAGATAAATCTTAAATTTAGACCTTGGAGTGCAGGACAATTGAAAAAAAAAATAGCATTTTGAAAATATGATTTTCTGATTTTTAGGATTTAAATAAAATATATTTGCAAATATAAAAAAAAACGTTATAAATAATAATAAACGAAATCTTACTTGTTTAATTTATGTATGACTGAAAAATATGCATCACATTAAGTTTATTACTTTTTTTTTTCAATCCAAATGAATGGAATTTTATATATTTAACTCAAATACACATCTTAAATTTAGGCCTAAATATATTTTTGGAGTGCAGGACAATACATGTTGGTAAAAAAGTATTTTGTCGTGTTTTTCAGTAAAAATATCTAAATATCTCTAAAACAAGATAAATATACTTGAGAAGCAAAACTGCGTAATATAATAAAACTTGTTTTTCTCAAAAGAAATATTGAGTTAAGTTTATTTCTCTTACCCCATGGGCAAATAGTTTGTTTATTTGTTTATTTTAAACATAAACCATGTTAAATGTTAGATGTTTTAAACAAGAAAACACTCAATAAAAACTAAAATCTAAACATATTCTCTGAAAACAAGTCTTAATATTTTATGCTGTTTTGCTTTATGTACATTTATCTTTTTACCCCAGAATTTTTAAATATTTTAACTGTGAAACCAGCCTAAAAACTGATCTGACTCTGCTTTTTCACAAATAACGGTCATTCTACTATACGAAGAATAACACAGGAGTGACATTTGGTGTCAAGGCTAACCAGACCATTCAATACACATATAGACACACACACTCTCACACAGTCAGACCCTCAGTCACACACACACACACACACACACACACACACTTGTATGATCTAGAATCAAACTCCTTAAGGTCAGCAATGTTAAACAACAGAGGTTCTGGGGTCATAGGATGAATTCTTCTCTGTGGAATCCAGTGGGATAGTTGTCATAGCAACGTCCTCTTGCTGGACCTGCGAGTACTCTGGAAGGTTATCTACAGTGGTTCTGCAAACACAAACAATCAGTCACAATGCATATGTATGTGTGTGTGTGTGTGTGTGTGTGTGTGTGTTTATGTTCCTCATAATCAGGGTGAGTATGTGTGGTCATATACTCACTGTTCATCGACAGTGTTGGGGTAACGCATTACAAGTAACGCGAGTTACGTAATCAGATTACTTTTTTTCAAGTAACTAGTAAAGTAACGCATTCATTTTTAATTTACAAGACAATATCTGAGTTACTTTTTCAAAAAAGTAACGCCAGTTACTTTGTTTTCCCATTTATTGACTGACAAGTCTCCTGTCCCCATATTGGGAGAAATCGGAAGTGCAGAGGCGTTGTGTGGGTTGTGTGCGCATGATGTTACTGTAGTTCTAGACTAAATGTGAATGTACTGTAATTCATCCCACTCGCAAAACTCGCAAAATAGTATTCATCAAAATGAATAAAAGCAGTGAAATGCAAACTCAGAATATGACGCAAACCTACAATAATTAAATATGTTAAATAACACAAATGTATCTAATCCCATTTTATTAACTAATGTCTTTGCTGCTGACCTTTGATGATCCAGTTCAACCATACTAATAAGCAAAAATGACTTTAGAGAAACTAACAATTGTGCTTTGTTTTTTTATTGCTGAAGAGTGTTTCTTCTCCTGCGTTCTACTGTACAGACGTGAATTTACTTTTGCTTGAGGTTTATTCATTACACTTTTTGGTGTGAAAGGGCATTTACATTTGCTCTAAATAGAACTTCTTATATTAAAAACAATCAAGCCCTGCTCATATTTAAAAAGTAACATGAAAGTAACGCAAAAGTAATGTAACGCATTACTTTCCATAAAAAGTAACTAAGTAACGTAATTAGTTACTTTTTTAGGGAGTAACGCAATATTGTAATGCATTACTTTTAAAAGTAATTTTCCCCAACACTGTTCATCGATTGGAACGGTGATATCTATATTGTTTGCGTCACCTTCTTTACCTCCGTTTCCTCTAGCACACAGCTTCTGTGGGGCCACACTGCTGCTAACAAATATATAGGAATATTATCTTTAAAGCAGTTCTTTCAATATACATAATCTATTATTAGCCAGAGGAAGGTGGTCGATCGTTATAATTTTTAGAAATCTCTAAATTCAACCCGTTCTCCCACACACTCACCCACAGTGCAAACGTTATATCATCATACAATATTCATGAGTCACAATAAGATTTATAATGTGTACCCCTCTTTCCAAATGTCATTGTTTTGATGCTGTAGGGAGCAGTGTGTGTGTGGGGGGGGCATTATGACTGTTATATAAAAAACAACTTATATGGCTATATGACTTTGAGTGCACTGTACAGTAATATTTTTTCCCAGAAGAGAACTGATTAATTCTAAATGCATATGTCTGCTAAAATAATAATCAGCACCACTGTTTTCAATGTTGATAATAATAATAAATGTTCTAAAGATTGAAGTAATTGGCTGCTGAATATTCAACTTTGCCATTACATATTTTGAAACAGGTTTTTTAATTGTAATAATATTTCACACTATTGCTGTTTTTACTGTATTTTTGATCAAATAAATGCAGCCTTGGTGGGCAGTTGTCTTTAAATTTCAGTAAAAATCTCACCAACCCCAAATGTTTGATTGGTATAGATGGCTTTAAAGCTATCCGACATGGACTAAAATTCATTAAACTCCAATGTTCTTATAGTTCACTCATAGGTTTGAGTCTTAGGGATCTTGTTATGTACGTCACTTTTGATAAAATCATCTGTCGAGTGGATTTTGTGTGTGTATTTATTAACACTCTGTATACAGTCTATATTGTACTTACAGTATATATCTCATCAGTTACTGTAGTGATGTTCCAATAACCACTTCTCCCTTCAAAGATCCTTATAATCTTACAATGCACACACAAACCTATTTGGCTTTGTCCTGCACTTCAGAATGTAGACAGTGGTGACAGCAGTTTGCAGAATGAGAAAGAATGCTGCTGCTATGGCTCCTATCTTCCATGTGTCCTGCCCTATGGCTTTGGTCTCTGAAGCGTGAAAGAGAGAAAGTACTGTCAAATATAGAAAGTTAAATACATAAAAAAAAAGAAATGAGCAGGTGTGCCTCTCTATAAAGACTACCATCTGGTACTTTCCAGTACAAAATATTGAAAAAAAAAATTAAACAAATGGTCAGTGACAGGTGCTCGACCTTCAGAAAATACAAATATCCAAAATATTCAAATATCCAAAAGTATAAAAGTGGTATAATTTGGGAAAGGAAAATTTAAGAGAGAGAGAAAAAGAAAAATTAGGGCAAATCAAATTATAAATAATTTACTGCCATTGTGTGAATAATCTGCATTCATGGAATCTATAAAAAAGTTACTGTAATCTGAATATGAGCATTTTAAAATGTGATATAATCTTATTATAAGTACTTAATTTTTGGAATCTGATTACGTCACTGTAAAACAAATTCCGTAATATTTACGGTAAAAACGATGGCAGCTGTGGTTGCCAGAATTTTACCGTAAAAAATACGGTAGCAGCGTTTTAGGGTTTTAACTTAAATTTACAGTTAAATAACATAATTTCATTAACTGATATAATGTTAATATACCAACCCACTGAAGTACTGAATTCTGTTTTGTACCTTTGTATAACACTGCACCAAAAGCAGGTGATGATGAGAAAATCACATGATGAACCAAAGCCCATCACAGGCAGCTTTTAAATATTAACATATATAGAAGGTGCACAGTGTCATTCACACAAACACTAAACACCATCATGGTAATACACATGAAACTGAAATAATGCAATAAACATTAATTTAACAACATTAGATGTAACATACAACCCTAATGTACACAACTGATAAGAAAAAACGATTGTTCATAAGATCTTTTTCACTTCCAAAAATGGTATGCTACCATAAAATTACATGTAATGTCCGATACAGTTTTATAGTAGGGGAACTTACTGTTAACCATTTAACAGGTTTTTACTGTAGCATTTTTACAGTCTTTTACCATTAAATTCACAGTCATTTTTTATAGTGTAATCTACATTACTACATTCAACACATTTTGATCTTCCCAGAATTTATTGCTCTGATGTTGCTCTTTCAGAGTTCAGGCTTAATGAAGTTCTCGGTTGCACATCAACTTTGTTTCAGATGTATCTGCTAGAATAAACAGATACAAATTAGACATTTATTAACATACAGAAGAAGAAAAAAATGCTAAATTACATGTAATGTCCGATACAGTTTTATAGTAGGGGAACTTACCGTTAACCATTTAACATGTTTTTACTGTAGCATTTTTATAGTGTAATCTACATTACATGTAATCAGTTACTAACCAGCACTGTAGATAGATAGATAGATTTATGTATAAATGTTTACAGTATGTTTCAGCATATATTCATTCCAGATGTTTTTGAAGAATGTACTCAGACAATAAGATGACACTGATGAGAAGTTGTATGTCTTTTGAAAAAATAGTTTTTGCAAGTTTGTTTACTTTGGTGTGTTTAAATGATATTTCTCATGTAGTTGCCATACGTGTAGAGTCCATTGGTGCGTCAGTATCTCCGAGCCTCAGTTTGTGAACTGGTGTTGGTGGGAGCTGCTCAACAGTGTTCATCAACACCGGTACACCCTGATTGTTCTTGTTCGGGTCCCTGGAGGTGATAATCTCGTTTACATCACTTGCCTCATGTGCTTTACCTGTAAAATCAGTTTTACCTGTAAAATAAGTTTCCTCACATTTCCAGTTACATTTATAGACAGCAGGCGACAGAAGGTTTGAGAGTGAATTTGTGTCATTAACAGCCTTACCGCCTGTTGCTTTAGACTTCTTGATAACAGGCTCCTGCAACTTAATTGGTCCCTTAGTATCCACGGCGACCTCTGTTGTGAAATGGGGGAGACATTTAACAGAGTGGTGAAAATTGCAGCAGGAAGATGAGATGAGAGCTGGAGGATATGTATGGAATTTAAAATGATGCTCTCACAGTATATACTACGTGTGAGACAACAGCTAGGTCTAAAAGAGTTCAATATATAACGTGCTAAGAAACCTTTGCAATATTGTAAGTGAGGTCATTTTCTACAATGTTGGAAATTTTCCCCCAGACTTTTGGTTTAAACGGCAAAAGATATTGGTATGCAACTAACGACTGGTTTTAATGAAGACTAGGGTGAGATTCGTACTATTATTCTTCTCATAAAACATCTTCAAATCATGAAATCAATCATAACAGATGCACATTTGATACACGTATTTATCCCATGCACAGAAATGAAGAAAGTCTGCTTTATCTGAATACAACCAACTGTGACAGAGGCCACTTGACTCAGTGAAGCATGTAGTGCTTTTAGGAGGATTGGAGGGTAAAGTCTATGTTGTGTGGGAATTAAGGTTTAGGGGTATCTTAGTTTCAGCAGGATGAATGTGTTTCTCTATGTAGGTCACAGGAGCAGCAGGAGCAGAAACATATAGGACAGTGGTTCATCAGAAATTAGGCGCTGGAGCTTTGGACAGACACCAAAACAGACCACACTCTCACTCGTTTAGGCAGATGTAACAATGCAACATGATCTCATTAATACTCATAGATGTTTTTTCATAAAGTGTGGTTCTACCACACTTACATTTTTGTATAATTGTATAGACTCTAAAATGAACATTATTGAAGTAATGTCTGTGTTTAATATGCATACGAAAAAATAATATATATATATA